GATGATGCTGATGATAATGGTGATGATGATGATGATGATGATGATGATGATGATGATGATGATGCTGATGCTGTTGCTGATGCTGATACTGATGATGTTGTTGATGCTGATGCTGATGTTGATGCTGTTGATTATGATGATGATGCTAATGATGATGATGATGATGATGATGATGATGATGATGATGATGATGATGATGATGATGATGATGATGATGATGATGATGATGATGATGATGATGATGACACTGATACTGATACTGATACTGATACTGATACTGATACTGATACTGATACTGATACTGATACTGATACTGATTGTGATGCTGATGGTGATGATGATGCTGTTGATGGTGATGATGATGCTAAGGAGGAGGAGAAAGAGGAAGGCGCGCAGAAGTAGTGGCACGATGACTGCACCGCTTCCCCCATCCAGAAGCGGGAAGCCGAGATGGAGGGCACCAACAGGGGAAGGGCGAGGTCGCCGCCGAGAGGCGCGTGGATTCGCGACGGGTCCCGTTTCCGTCCAGAATCGGCGCAACGTCTGGCGGCATTGGCTTCGCGTTCCCGGAGATCCAGCGTATTGAAGAAATCATGAGAGGTTTTTCGTATCTTTCGGCCTCTAGGGGCCCTTGCCGGGCCTCGGGACCGTGAAAAAACGATTCAGGATGAAAAGCCAGTGCTGGGGAATGGGTCTAGACTTCCTGGGAACCCGTATGGCATAAAACACGGCATCGGCTCTCTGGGTTTTGGGGGTAACTTTCCCGGTCCGTGGATCTGGCCCAGGGGGGGAAACGGTACTGATACCGCTACCTTTCCTTCGTCTTCCTCTTTTTGGGGCCTCCTGGGAGGCCCTCGTCGCCACCGCTGGATTCGCCTCGAAACTCTGGCCAGTCTAGGCCTCCCAGATGGGGTCGGAGGATCGCGACCATCGCCGATGCATCGCCGATGCGGCTCGATGTGCAGCCCGATTTGCGTCACGTCGACGTCGCCGACGCATCGCCGATGCATCGACGATGCATGGCCGATGTATCGGCGATGCGGCGCGATCCTCCGACCCCATCTGCTCCGACCCCATCTGGGAGGCCTTTAGCCTTCTCCTCGTCCCCGGGCCGGCTCGCGCCGTGGACGCAAAAAAGTCAGGACCAGCGGCGTCTGGCACAGGCTTCGGCCCCCGGGGCCTCGCCGTACCCCGGGGGGACCGTCAGAGCACGGCGCGGGACGGACGGCTGGCCCTGCGGAAGGCAAGGCTCACTTCGGACTCCTCCGATTCGATTCGCTTCGGCCTCGATGGCTTCCGCTTCCGATTCCGATCCTTGCCGACTTCGGATTCCGAGTTGGGAGCCGATGTTTCAACGGAGGCCTACTAGCCTGCCGATGCCTACCGATTCCACTTGTTCCGACTCGGCTGCCGATTTCCGCCGATCCGACCAATTTCGATCGCCGATCCGACTTATCGATCCGATTCTGGGCCCTCCCGGGAAAGGGTCGGGTTTTCGGGGGGGGGCCGTTCTGAAAACAAGCGGGCCATCGCATGTCTGGGGCTGGTTCCGTGGTGCCTTCACTTTTTCTCCCACAGCTGTACGGAGCATCTCCCGTTGCTCCCGGATGGCTGGCCTGCATGTCCCCATACGCCTGCCCTCGTAGAGGACCGCCCCATCGGGGCCGGAATGCGCATGGCAGCGCATCGGATGTCCTCGCATGCGACTTTTCTCCCAATCCCCGAGTGTTGCCCGAAGAGCTCGGCCGCCCAGAAAAAGGGGGGAAGCTCTGGGATGCACCCCGAGGGGACTCTTCGGGCGGACGCACCCCTATCAAGGATGGGCGCCCCCCCGTCGTACATACAGTCGACCCGCATGGCAAGGATGGGCAACCCTCCCCAGGGTACCCTTGCATCCTTGCCTCCTCGGTCCATCCTTGGCCACTTTCGCTGGCTGCGCCTCGCTCGAAAAGCTTCGAAGTGGGCGGCCAAGGCCCTTACACTCTTATCGTGCATCCTTAAGATACGGGCCGACTGTATCCCAGGGTTGGGCCCCAACGCTTCGGTCCCTTTCGAGAACCCACGGAGCCCGCGACAGGGGTCGACGTGCCCCCTGTGTGACGTCCGCCCCTCCCGCTGTGCCGCTCCGGGCCGCGGCGGGGCGGCGCCGCCGGCCCCCCAGGGCGTCGGCGTCGGCGTCCGCGTCGTCTTTTCGCCGTCGTCGTCGGCGTCGTCGTGGTTGTCGTCGTCGGCGTCGTCGGTCGGCGTCGTCTGCGTCGTCTGCGTCGTCGTCGTCGGCGTCGGCGTCGGCGTCGGCGTCCTGCTTCGCGGGCGTGCGCGACGGAGTGGCCGCGCGGTCGCGGCGCTCGGGCGGAGGGGGGCGGCCGCTCCCCCGCCCGCGTTTGCAGCCCCAGGCGGCTGGGGCGCGCCCCCCCTGCCGCTGGAGGACTCGAGGCCTCCCAGATGGGATCCGAGCAGGTGGGGTCGGAGGGGCGCGCCGCATCGCTCGGGCCGGACGAGAGGGGGGGCAAGGGAATAGGGGGGGGTGGGGGGGGGTACGAAGTCTGCTGCATGCAGCTGGTTTCGGCCCCGCCGAGGGGCCCATTCCTCGATACATGGGCGCCTCTGGCGCCGGGAGGCCCCGGGAAAAGCAGCTGCGTGAGCTGATTCTCCCCCCCCCCCTTTGCTATCCCCCCCCTCTTTCGCCCGGCCCGAATGGCCGATGCATGGCCGATGCAGCGTCGATGCAGCGTCGATGTTTGCGATGCATCGGTGTCGTCGGCATGGGGGAAGTGGGGCTCCACATCTGGCCGCGTCGCCGGTGCATCGCCGATGCGGCGCGGTACTCCGACCCCCATCTGCTCGGAGCCCATCTGGGAGGCCTCTTAAGGACGAGGTCGAGTCCGTGGCCAGCGCTCTCAGGCCGGGCCTGCAAGGGCAGGGGGGGCAGAGGCTCACGTCACAGCCAGACCCCCCGCGCTGTGAAAAAAAGGCGCGACGGGATGTTTTGTGCTGTTTTCGGCCTCTGGGAGCCCTTAGCGGGCGTCGGGACCGTCAACAAAAACGACTCAGGAGGAAAAGCGGGTCCAGGGGAAGGGGTCGAGACCTCTGGGGGTCGACGTTGTGAACAAGCACTACGTTGGAGGTCTGGGCACACAGCGGAGGAGGAGGAGGACCAGTGTAAACCCAAGAGTCATTAACGTTGTTGGAGCAAACCCTCCCTCCAAGCTTCCTCTTCATGTGCCCCTACAACGGTTCATTACCATTGATGGAACTGCCTCATTGGAAGACACTCGTTTGAAGATCCGAAGCATGCCAACACATTGTTCTTGGGATTCCAACGCCACGGATCAACCTGACTGTTGCGTCTTGGTGATCCTGAATCGCGCCAGAACGCCATTCCTAGAACTTCAACGCAGAGAATCAACGTAACGATTGCACCCGCATAATCTTGAATCGTTCCAAAGCGCCATGTCTGGTACGTTGATGATGGGAACCCGTCAAACTCTTGCAACGAATGTGCGCGGTTCTAAAGCGAGAGCCACAGTCAGAAAAGGAATCGGCCTCAATCCGTGAAACTCTTGCAGATGTTTAAGACGAATGCGCGCCGCGATAAGGCGAGAGCCAGTTTGAAAACCACCCGCCCTCAATCCGTGAAACCCTTGCAGTTTGTTTAAACGAATGTGCGCCGCGCTAGGGCGAGAGCCACATTTTGAAAATCACCCGCCCTCAATCCGTGAAACTCTTGCAATTTCTTAAACGAATGTGCGCCGCGTTAGGGCGAGAGTCACATTTGGAAAACCACCCGCCCTCAATCTGTGAAGCTCTTGCAATTTGGTTGAACGAATGTGCGCCACGCTGAGGCGAGAGCCGCATTTTGAAAACGACTCGCCCTCAATCCGGGACAGTCTTGCAGTTTGTTTAAACGAATGTGCGCCGCGCTAAGGCGAGAGCCACATGTTGAAAACCACCGCCTTCAATCTGTGAACCTCCTGCAGTTTGTTTAAGCGAATGTGCGCTGCGCTAGGGCGAGAGCCACGTTTTGAAGACCACCCGCCCTCAATCCGTGAAACTCTTTGCAATTTCTTGAACGGATGTGCGCCGCGCTAGGGCGAGAGCCACATTCGGAAAACCACCCGCCCTCAATCTGTGAAGCTCTTGCAAGTTTGTTGAACGAGTGTGCGCCACGCTGAGGCGAGAGCCGCATTTTGAAAACGACCCGCCCTCAATCCGTGAAGCTGTTGCCACTTTTAAAGCGTCAGAGTCATGAGTAGTGAGGAAGTCTCAGGCGAAACGTCCTGCCCGCCCTAACAACTGGCCTCGGGGTGCGACACGGAGAAGTTATGCGTCAGGGAGAGAAATGGAGGAGGAAGAGGAAGATGGGGAGGAGGAGGAGAAGCATGATGATGATGAGGAGAAGGAGCAAGAGAACGAGGAGGAAGAGGAGGAGGAGGAGGAGGAAGGGGAGGAGGAAAGAGAGGAAAAGGAGGAGGAGGAGGAGGAGGTGGATGATGAGGAGTACGACGAAGACGAGGAGGACGAGGAGGAAAAGGAAAAGGAGGAGGAGGCGGAAGGGGGAGGAGGAGAAGAGGGAGGAGGAAGAGGAAGAGGTGGAGGAGAAGGAAGAGGAGGAGGATAATGTAGAGGAGGAGGAGGAGGAGGAGGGAGGAGGAGGAGGAGGAGAGACGGGGAGAGGGATGGGAGGACGAAAAGAGGGGAGGAGGAGGAGGAGGAGGAGGGAGGAAGAGGAGGAGGAGGAGGGAGGAAGGGGGAGGAGGAGGAGGAGGAGGAGACGAGGAGGAGGAGGAGGAGGAGGAGGAGGAGGAGAGGAGGAGGAGGAGGAGGAGGAGGAGGCGGAGGAGGAGGAGGAGGAGGGGGGAGAGGAAGGAGGAGAAGGAGGAGGAGGAGGAGGAGGAGAGGGGATGAGAGATGGATGCTGATGATGATGATGATGATGATGATGATGATGATGATGATGATGATGATGATGATGATGATGATGATGATGATGATGCTGATGATGATGATGCTGATGAGGAGGAGGAGGAGGAGGAGGAGGAGGAGGACCAGGAGGAGGAGGAGGAGGAGGAAGAGGAGGGGGAGGAAGAGGAGGAGGAAGAGGAGGGGAATCTGGAGGAGGTGGAGGTTGTGGTGGAGGAGGAGGAGGAGGAGGCGATGGAGGGGGAGTGGTCTGATGATGCTATCGATTGAGTTGTGGTTCTCGCCAGAGGGACGAGAAGCCCAGCCCGCCCCACGGATGCGGCCAGCCTGGTGAGGCTTGCTGGGTGGCGGTGCTTCGACCTGGTGGGCGACTGGGACGGCTGGAGCAGGCCCTGTCCACATGGCGCCCGCCGATCGCGCTTTCGCAGCCGAGGAGGAGAAGGTGCCGGCGCCGCTATCCGTAAGCCGGGCATGTCCCTCGACAGAAGGAATATTCAAAACTAGTCAATTGCCTGAGGACGATTCTTCGATTTTTAGTTGACAATGTTTGAGCCTTTCTTGACTATTACCCATTTTGCTTCCAAAATCGGCCTGTAGAGGGACATGCCCGACCTCAGGCTACCTTTGCCTCGATTTCGCCTCTCTGTGCCTGCTGGGAGGTTCTCGTCAGAACGCACCCGGGAGGAGGTCTGGGGAGCAGCGGTGTGGTTACCTTGTTTTGGTTTCCGCAATCGCTGGTCGCGTGGCTGTCGTCCACGCGGCAACAAGCCGCGTATCCGGGCGGACCCGATCGCGCCATTGGCCTGCCGACCGCAGGATGTGTGCTCGCGATGGCCGTCGTCGACGCGACCAGCCCCATGATCGCCGATTCGCTCTGAGAGAGAGAGGCCTGCAGTTTGGTCCGGCGATTCCGTCTTCGGGCTTGTTCTGATGTTCCATGTGCTCAGTGCTTCTTGCCTCAGAGTAATTGTGGCCGGAACTCAAGATTTGGATTAGGATCATCATGCGGTACCCACAGGGGCTGCACACTGATAACCGAAGCGATGCAACATACATACCCCCTGTAGGAAGGATCCCCCCTCCTCGGGCCGAGGCCGACCGCCCTGAGCTTGAAAGCAGGGGCAGCAGTGGCGAGACCACGGGGTCATCTCATGCGCATGCTCAGCGCGTGCAACTTAAGGGATGCGCACTGAGGGGAACCCAGGGCCAGGAAAAATCATCCGGAGAGGAAGCGGAACGAGCAACACCTGCATGCGCTGCTCGGTCCGCCCTCGGACCCCAAGACTTCCAGGGGCCAGCCCCGGGCTTCCAGTCAGCCAGTGCTGGGCCTCCTCCTGCTCCTCCTTCTCCTCCTCCTCCTCCTCCACCTCCACCTTCACCTCCTCCTCGTCCTCATTATCCTCTCTCTCCTTCGGCATCCTTCGGCATCAGGAGAGAGTCACCTCCTGTACACACAATGTGAAATGACACTCCCGCAACAAAGAGAAATAATAGAGACGAGTTTAGCTGCCTGGCGAGCTCGGCGGCCTCCTCCTCCTCCTCCTCCTCCTCCTCCTCCTCCTCCTCCTCCTCCTCCTCCTCCTCCTCCGGCCAATCATAATCGTGCAGCGGCCGAGGTTCCACAGGTTCCGTGGCCGCAGCGACGGCTGCATGACCGTCGAGGCCTTCGGGGGGCAGGGTCTCTCCGGCGCCGCACCGGAGGAGTAGTGCAGCAGATCTGGGGATGGCGGCTGCGTGCCAGGGAACAGGGTTCAGGATCTGCGAGAGGAGAGGGATGATAGCGTCACATGTGGTAGAGGTTAGCGGAGGCCCCCATGCTTGCGCCCCTCCTGCTCCAGCTCCTCCGCCCTTTGCTCCTCCGACTCTTCCCCCTCTCCTCCTCTGGACGCGCTCCAGAGAGAGCTTTGCCTTCGGCGCCTCTCGCCCTCGGTCGTCGTAGAGCGGGCCGGCTCCGCCGATGGAAGTTCGACTGAGGGGGGCGGAAGTGCAGGTTGAGACGCTGACACCGTCGGATCCAGGGCCTCTGGAGCCGGCCGTCTCCATCCGACGAGGGGGACGAGTTTTCGGGGGAGCGAGATCAAGCAGTGGCGGAGCGTCCTGGCGTGTGGCCTACCAAACAGTGTTCTAGGAGCCGTTTGTGGTTTCCACGAAATTTTCTTTCTGGCTGGGACTGTCTTGGTTTAACGCGTCGGGTTCATGTTCTAATAACATTGGTCTTGTTCTCAGAACACCTCTGGGTTCTCAGAACATGTAGCGGTAGGCCTATAGGAATGCAGGGACGGTCGGTCCCTGCTCCAGAGGAGGAGGAGGAGGAGGAGGGGGAGGAGGAGGAGGAGGAGGAGCAGGAGGAGGAGGAGGTGGAGGAGGAGGAGGAGGAGGAGGCGGGCGAGGAGGAGGAGGAGGAGGAGGAGGAGGTGGAGAAGGAGGAGGATGAGGAGGAGGAGGAGGAGGAGGAGGAGGAGGCGGGCGAGGGCCAGGTCGCCCGTGTGGGCCCAGGAGCCGCGCGTTCCCCGCCCGTCGAGGTGGACCTGCCGCCCGGGGAGCAAGTGGAGTTCCAGATCCTCTGCGACGAGGACTGGGACCTGCGGCTCTTCCCGACTCAGGAGCTCCTCCCTCCCTGCACCCCTCCATCTCAAGCAGTGGCGAAGCGTCCTGGCGTGTGCCTGTAGGCCTACCAAACCATGCTCTGAGAGCCTCTTGTGGTCTCCACGAGGTGTTCTCAGGACATCTCTGGCTGGGACGGTCTTGCTTTGACACATCGGTTGTATGTTTTGATGACATTCTCTTTGTTCTAAGAATTGTTTGGGGGTTCTAAGCGCATTTCGTGGTAGGCCTGTAGGAATGTCAGGATGGTTGGTCCCTGCTCAACCATCGGCCCGCCTTTGTCCCCCCCCCCCTCCCACACGCCTCCATCCCTTCTGACACTGTCCCCCCCCTTCCATACCCCCTCTGTCCCCAGAAGTCCCTTTTCTCGCCTCTCACGCCCACATGTCCCCGCCTGAATCCCACCTCATGATCTTGATCCGCATCCCTCCTGCCTCAGGCTAACCAGCGCTTCTCCCCCAATGCGACCCCACAGGGACACGGCAATCCACCTCCTCCAGATGATATTTCTGCCCTGCTCGTTTTTGTTCTCGTCCCTCTGCCCTCCTCCATCCTCCTGCCTCCTTCCAGCTTGCAGGCTGGGTGGCTCAGCGTCCGATGTGTATAAGGCGTGAGGCCCTCTGGGCGCCGTCGCTCTGAATCTTCCTGCCGGTCGCCCTTCTCAGCAGCCCGTCTCCCTCCTATAGCCTGCATCTGCATAAAGGGGGGGGAGAGGGGTCGTCTCAGGGGGGGGAGGGGGGAGGGGGGAGATTTTTGGGGGGACTTCGGAGGCAATCCGTGGCTGGATGCTCCCCGGGCGGCTTCCCTCTCCTGGGGGCTCCCCGATGCCCTCAGTGGTGCCCCGCCCGTCGATGCCACCCGACCACTTCCTCAAGATCGCGCGACCCAATCAAGCATAACTATACATGATGCTATCCTCGTGCTGGAGATTCCAGCACGCGCGCCTTCGGGCCCGCCGTGATCGGTGCTCGCAGGTGCCATGCCTTGTGCGCCTCGTCTTGCTGCAGTCTGCAATGCTCCCTGCGTCGTGAATACAGTGCGACGCCTGAATAAGGAACACTTACCTTTCAAAAGGGGCTCGGGCGTGCCTTAGGTTTGCATGCGTTCCGCTACCTTTTGCCGGCCAGCCCCCCCTGTGTTCCTCAAGATTCTGGACGCGCGGGTCGAATCGCAAAAGCGCATCGTGGCGGCACGCTGCTAGAACAGGGGCTGGGCCGTTTCTTCGGACTTCCTGGACTTACTTGGAAAACAGGGGCTTCGTTCCTGATTTACCCTTCCTTAGCTCAGTGCCCTCACTGCAGTACTTCCTCGCCGTCTTCGTCGTCGCCATCGTCGCCGTCTTCGTCATCGTCATCGCCCTCGTCGACTTCCTTAGCTCCTCAGTGCCCTCACCGTGGTACTCCCTCGCCGTCGTCGTCATCGCCATCGTCGCCATTGCTCATGCTGCCCGGCCTGTCGCTCTGCCTTAGCTCAGTGCCCTCACTGCAGTACTCCCTCGCCGTCTTCGTCATCGCCGTCGTCGCCACTGCTCATGCCCGGCCCGTCGCTCTGCCTACGTCCCGCACCCTGCCGCACTGCTGCCCGCGCGGCGGCCTCGCGAGGAGGGCAGCATCGTCCTGGGGCCCGGCGCGGCCGCGCACGGGAACAACTGGAAGCTGCAGGCCGGCGGACTCCGCCTCGTTCTTCGGAGGAGGAAGAGGTCCTCCTCCTCCTCCTCCTCCTCCTCCTCCTCCTCCTCCGCCTCCTCCTCACACCTCCACCCTGTCCTCGTTTTCCCCTTTTTGGGCCTCCTGGGCGGCCCTCGTCGCCACCGCTGGATTCGCCTCGAAATCCTGGCTCCGCCTCGTTCTTCAGATGAGGAAAATGTACACACACACACACCTCCACCCTGTTCTCGTTTTCCCCTTTGTGGGCCTCCTGGGCGGCCCTCGTCGCCACCGCTGTCGTTTCGAAATCCTGGTCAGAACGCACCCCGAGAGAGGTCCAGGGAGTAGCGGTATCGGTACCGTTTGGTTTCCCCATTTCTTCCCCCCGGCAGCTCTTCTCGCGATGCCGGCGCGTGCACCCCAGACCATCGGTTCTCTAAGAAGAAAGAGATGCCATAGACATACACTTTTGGCGCTCCGCGCGGATTTCTGGGATCCGCGCTGGCCCCCCCCCCGGCGGCGCCTCCGGCGCCGCGCCTGGCACGCTCCGCGCGCCAGGGAGGGGGAATCCAACGCAGATCCAGGAAATCCGCGCGGAGCGCCAAAAGTTTATGCGTATGCCAATGTTTGGCTTGTTCTAGATTCGTGCCGTCATGTGTGTGTGTGTGTGTATGTGTGTGTGTGTGCGTGTGTGTGTGTGTGTATGTGTGTGTGTGTGGGTGGGTGGGTGGGTGGGTGGGGCCCTGTGCGTGTGCGCGGCCGTGTGTTATTCTGAGCCCTGCCTCTGTTCACCCAGCGCGTTCCACTGCTCGCAATAAGGTGCCCCCTCGCACACGCCCGAAAAAGGCGAGCGCCGGCCCCGATTGCAGTGTGTCGTGGCTCCCCCGCGGCGGACCCGGGCCAGTGGCGAGCCGTTCCTTCGCGAGTCGTGGGCGGCGCTCGTCTGTCCGTGGGCCGGCCACCGGCGACCCGCGCGCCCACGGGCGAGGGCGGCCCGTGGGCCGCCAGAGGGCGGCTCGCGCGGCCCCCGCCGCAGCGGCCGTCGTCGCCTCCGCGGCCCCGCGGGAGGCCCGGCCACGGGCCGCGGGCACGCGGGCCTCGGGTGATGCAGGCTGGCGGCGACGTGGAGAGCAGCGCAGCAAGGAGGGGGAGAAGGCAGCCATACCTTTGCCCCCCTCGCCCGTTGTTCCCCTTCCCGGGCCTCCTGGAAGAGGCCCTCGTCGCCACCGCTGGAGTCGTCCCGAGGTCCGGGTCAGAAGGCGCCCCGGGAGAGGCCGCGGGGGCAGCGGTATCGGTACCTGTTGGTTCCGCCATTGTGGGTTGTGTGGATTCGTGGCCGAACGAATTTGCAGGAAAGCGTGGTCCGCGCTTTCCTGAAATTCGCCGTGCCGTCTTTGCTCGATGCGTTCGCGCACCTGGGATGTGGGAAAGTGTGGCTCGTGATATACCCTATTTTCGGGCGGGGCGAAAGGGGGGGATTGGGAAAGGGTGGGGGTACGAAATTTGCTGCGTGCAGCTGGTTTCGGCCTCACCGAGGGGCCCATTCCTCGATACATAGCCGCCCCTGGCGCCGGGAGGCGCTGGGAAAATCAGCTACGTGAGCTGATTCTCACCCCCCCCCTTTGCTATCCCCCCCTTTCGCCCGAACCGATATTTCTTGTGGCTGCGCGAGATCGGCGTCGCAGAAGCCAGATTCCCAGCCATCCCCGTGGACCAGCATCGCCATTGGCGTGGCCTCGGTCTGGAGCCGGGGGCCGCCGAGGCCCCCGCGCCCGAAGCCACAGCGGCCCACGCACCGCAGGCCTAATCCCCCGGGGGAGTGCGGCCTCCCCGTGCAGGCAAGAGCCCCAGGAGGAGGAGGAGGAGGAGGAGGAGGAGGAGGAGGAGGAGGAGGAGGAGGAGGAGGAGGAGGAGGAGGAGGTCAGCAGTGCTCCATCCGGGCCCCCCTCGGCTTTGCGGCCCGCCGCGCCCGCGCCCCCACGCGGGCCTCCCCGGGGTGCTCTGTCGCATGCCGCTTCCCCCCTCGTGGATTCCCTGGTCGGTCGGAGCGGCGCTCTCTCGCAGCGGCGCCGGCCACGCGCCCGCCCTCCTGCGGCTGCCGGACGTGGGCGCCGCTCTCCCCCCTCCCGCGTGCTCGGCCTGCGAGTCTGGCCGTCAGGATCCGCGGTTGCCCCGACCTCCTCCACCACCTTTTCCTCCCGCTCCTCCCTTCCTCCCCTCCTGCAGCTCCTCCTGAAGGGGAAGCGTAAGACTCGGGTGAGCCGGAACTCGAGTTTGCCGACGTTTTCTGACGAGCACGTCCTGGATTTTGACGGTCCGGTTTTCGTGGGATGTTTGCAGCGGGAGTTCGCGTCAAGTTTCAGATTGGGTCTCGTCATTTTCATGATGGCCCCGTCGGGCCAACCCGAGTCCCCCGAACCCGAGTCTCACGTCTCCCCGATCCTGGCGGCGGCGAGCCCGGTGGGGAAGTGTGACGGAGGAGGCCTCCTCAGGAGGCTCGGAAGTCCCTCTGGGCCTGCAGGGAAGTGCTCTGGTCCTGCCCCGAAGACGCAGAGCGCCTGTTCAGAAGGCCGGAGGCCCTCTGAGACGCCCCGCCGCCTTCTGAGAAGGCCTTCTCCTTCTCGCTTCCCCCCACGCGCTCTCGCCGCCGATTCTCCTCCTGCTCCCTCGTCGCCGTCCTTCTCCTCCTCCTCCTCCTTCTCCTCCTCCGTCTCCTCATCCTCCTTCTCCTCCTCCTCCTCCTTCTCCTCCTCCTCTTTCTCCTCCTCCGTCTCCTCCGCCTGCACCCTTCCGCTCTTTCGCCTTCCTCCTCCTCCTCCGCCTCTTCGTCCTACTCCTCGCCTTCCTCCTCCTCCTCCTCCTCCGCCTCTTCCTCCTGCTCCTCCCCCCTCCAACATCTTAGTCGCCCACTGCCCCCCCGGCTCTTCTTGTTTATTCCCTGCGCCCTCTACCAGAATACAATAATAACAAAAAGCTGATTCCTTTCCCTCCACTCCCACTCGCCCCCCTTCCCTAAGCCGAGTCCATCTAGGGACTCCAAGTCCGGTTCGACGCCTGGCTCGGCGAACAGGAAAGGCATCCGGCGCAGCGGGAAGGGACAGGCGCAAGCGATGTCATGTCAGATGTGGCGTGAGCGAGGCCAGTTTGCCCGTCTCCCTTCTTCTCTGTCCCCCCCTTCGCCCTCCCTCAGCCCCCCTCCCCGAAACCTAGGAGGCGGAGTGCCTCCTTATGACTGTGTCTTCTCAGCTGTCCTCTGTCCTCTCTCGGGGCAGCAGCATCAGACCGAGCTCAGCACATGGCTCATTCCACGGTCCGGCGATGACCCTGTTCCCTCCCCCCCCCCTCCACTCACTCGTCCCTCCCCCTTAACTTTAAGGTGGGCCTGTCCCTCTACCAAAATGGTCACCAAGTAGTCTGGGGACGATTGTTGGACTATTCGTTGAGTCTGTTCTCACGATTTTCCATTTCTAGTCCAAAATCCGCCCGTAGGGGGACATGCCCGACCTGAACTTAACTCCCCCCCAATCCTCGCTTGCCTCCCGAGTCTCTACCCCTTCCCTCCCCTCTCCCCTGCCCCGGGGAAGGCGCGGAGAGAGAGGCGAGGGGGAGAGAGAGAGAGAGAGAGAGGCAGAGGCGGCGAGGGGAGGCCAGGCGGTTGGGAGAGAGACGCGCTGGGGAGAGGGCGGGAGGATGGAGGAGGAGGAGGAGGAGGAGGAGGAGGAGGAGGAGGAGGAGGAGGAGAGCGGGAGAGGGGTGGGGGTAGGAGGGGGGGAGGGGGGGAGAGACAAGCTATGTGCCCTCGCGTCATATCTGACGTCCTACCCTTCCCTCCCATCCCTTACCATGGTGCTGATTTTCTCTATCCGCGGACGCGTGTCGTAGCGGACCTGTGGCTCCGCGCGCGCGTGCGTAGTGGGTGGTGGTGCGCGTGCGTGCGTGCGCGTGCGTGTGTGTGTGTGTGTGTGTGGTTGTGGTTGTGGTGGTGGTGGTGGTGGTGGTGTGTGTGTGTGTGTGTGTGTGCTGTGTGCGCGTGTGCTGTGGTGTGACGTGGTGTGGCGTTTTGGTTGTTTGGTGGTGGGCCAGGTGCGTGCGTGCGTGATGGCGGTGGTGGTGGTGGTGGTGGTGGTGGTGGTGGTGGTGGTGGTGGTGTGTGTGCGCGTGTGTGTGTGTGTGTGTGTGCGTGTGTGTGTGTGTGTGTGTATGTGTGTGTGTGCGTGTGTATGTGTGTGCGTGTGTGTGTGTGTGTGTCTGTGTGCGCGCGTGTGATGGACGCGGTGTAGCGTGGTGGTGGTGGGTGGGGTAGTGGGGTGGCGGTGCGCGTGCGTCCGACACCATTTGCTTGGACCCCTATCTAGGAGGTCTCTGCCAACTGGGCTACGGTCGGACCGAGGCGTAAGATCGAGGTCGGTTCAGGGCGGGTGCCCTAATGTTCATCGTACTTGTTGGCTGTTTCTGTGCATCCTGGGGCAGGGTACCTTCGAAGGCTCCTCATCTTTGCCGACGCAACGTCTCAGGTTCTTGACGGATGCTCTTCTGCAGACCCTCCCACCCTCGGCGGGGGGAAGTACAGTGGGCACGCCAAAGAAGGCACCGGTGTGCCAGCATGTGCCCGGCGGAGGCGTCGTATTCCCCCGACGGCCACGGTCGTCGGAGTTCATGGTCGTCCCGCGCAGTCCATCGGCCGAAGAGTGTGCACCTGGATCTCTGACAGCAAGATTTCTCAACGTGTGCGCGCACTGTAGCGGCCAGTATCCCGTCCAGAGAGAGGGCGATCGGGAATCATGGGCCCGGCCAGCCCCTGCCGATACGAGCGAGGGGTCGTCGTCGGACGGTGGTAGGAGCGTGGTGCTGTGTTCCAGTGGATGCTGGTGGCTCGAGAGGACGTAGATACGCAAACAGACGCAAAGGGGAAGATGAGGAGGCACCCCGCCTCCACGGCCTCCTCGAAAAGGCCGAGGGGAGGGGGGAGGGGGGGAGGTGTGTCGAATCAGAGCAGACGACAAGCCACCGCTGCTGCTGCCACCAACCTCGCTACACCCTTGCTGGGCCAGCCGCGCCAGACCTCGCGTCGCGATCAAACACCACGACGGCGGGCTTCCTGGCAAGTCTCCGCCTCGGGGGGGCCCTCGCTGGGCCCCGGGCCCATCGGAGGACGACTCGGTATGGACACGCTGGACACAGGAGAGGTGTCCAGACCTCCAGCGGTCGACGCTGCGAACAGAATCCGTGACCCTCGATGTCATGGGGCCTCGAACGCGGAAGCAAGCACATAAAACATAATTTTCGGAGGTCCGCGCTGATTTCGCGCATCGGCGCTGGACGCGCCCTGGCGGCGCCCCTGGCGCCGATCCAATCGATCCGCGCGGACCTCAGACTGTGTCTGTTCATGTGGTCTGTCTTGTTTCTTCCACTTGCACACTCTTGCTGGGCTGGCCACTGCAGGCGTTGTGAGAGCTTCGGGGTCTTCCGCGTGTGCCCGGCTGCGTATCTGGCCGGTGCTCAGAGATGCGTATCGGGCCGACGCGCAGAGATGGAAGCGTATCCGGCCGGCGCGTAGAGAAGCGTGAGCAGGAAGCGTATCCGGCCGGTTCCGCAAAGATGGACGGATAGCGCCCGCGCGTCAGCATTCGAACGTGTTCTTCTCTCGAGGGCAGGCTTTTCATGATTTTGTTGTCCTCCCGCGTCCTGTGCTGGGATCTGCCTGCCTGTCCGTCATAACCTGTCGGTCGTTGAAAGAGTGTGTGTGTGTGTTTCTGGCTCCCGGATCCCACTCTACTTCAAGCGCCTACCTACTTCAGGAGCTCATCTGCTTCTGCTGCGTTCTGTTCTT